TCACGTGTGACGTCTCGATATTAAAACGTGAGGTCTCCCCATTGAGTCCCTTTATTTTTAGCAGGCTACCACCCTACCTGCTAGAAAGAGGCCCTAGTGGTCGTTCTACTAAAGCCGGGGAAGAAGGACTATTCTAATCCTAAGTCTTATAGGATTATAGCCCTTCTAAACTGCTTAGGTAAAGTCCTCGAGACGGTTATAGCTACTAGACTAAGCTTTTTAGCTAATACCCGCGACGACCTTCTACACCCTAGTTAGATAGGGGGTAAAAAATAATAATCCGCTATCGATACGGCCCTTCTTCTCCTCTACTATATCGAAAAACAGCGTAAATCACGGCAAAACGCCATAATTTCTACGCTGTTTTTAGATATTAAAGGAGCCTTCGACCACGTCGCCCGCCCTTAGCTACTAAGAATCCTTTAAGAGCTCTAACTACCCTTGAATCTAGTTAAATAGGTAGCATCCTTCACAGAAAACAGGCGTATCCAACTAGCCTTTAAGGGTTAGGTTTAGCAGCCCACCCCCCTAAATATAGGGGTCCTATAAGGCTCCCCGGTTTCCCCTATTCTATTCCTAATTTATATTAGGAAGGTTATAGCGGGGCCGGATTTTAAAGGTCTTCAGTTATCCTATATAGACGATTTTCAGCTATCTATAGCGTCTACGTCGGCTAGGAAAAACTATAAGATCCTAGAAAGAGCCGTAGCCTCCCTTTTCAAAGCAGCTAATAATAACCACGTTCTTTTCGACCCGGATAAGATAGAGCTTATTCACTTCCACCGAAGACGCTCTATCGAAGACTCCCCGATTATTATAGGAGGGCACTTAGCTAAACCTACGCTAGGTACTATTAGGTGGCTAGGGGTCTAGTTTAACCCTAAGCTATCTTTTAAACCCCACTTCGAAAAACGCCTAAATTCAGCTACAGGGGTCTTAAGTAGACTCTATAGGCTAGCTAGCTCGCAGAGGGGCCTTTCTTTTTAAGGCCCTACGGCAGCTATATATAGCCTGTATAGCCTCGCTGGCTGACTTCGGCTCGCAGCTATGGTGGGACCCTAAATCACCTAAAAAGCACCTAGTCGACCGCCTAGAACGCCTATAGTACGGCGCTCTGGTCAGGGCTTAAGGGGCTTTTAGAGGGGCCCCCTTACGGCCTCTAGAACTAGAAGCAGCAGTGCCCCTAGCGTCGATTCGGTTAACTAGATCTAATAGGCTTTATGCCTTTAGGTCTTTAAAGTTCTTACCGAACCACCCTATAAGACGCCAGCTTCTAGGGGAGCTAGGGGAAGACCTCGCCCGTCTATAAGACCTATAGCCCACCACACAGCTCTATAGGCTAGGCCTAGAATTAGCTGCTTTCGTAGGGCAGTCCTAGGAAATAGAGGGCCCTATAGCTAGGTAGGAGGCCCCCTAGGCCTCCGAACCTATAGCAGACCTTAGACCCTTTTTTCCCTTAAAAGAATAGCCTATAACCGCGAACAACACCGAACCCGGCACCTAAGACCCAAAAACAGCCCACCTCGAAGCCCTTAAGGATATACAATAATCCTTAGGCGAGTAGGCCTCTATTCCCTATACCGACGGCTCCCTAGGCCACCCTATAAGGCCTCCTATAGGGCCTAAGCAGGCTATAGCTACTATAATACAGTTAGCTAATACCGGCAGACCCTATAGAGCTATAGGCTATAACCTAAGGAACTCTGCCGAGGTCGCCGACACCGAATTATACGCTATTCTTCAGGCCCTTCGGATTACCCTAGAGCAGTCGCCTAGGCCCTTAGAGTGCTATATTTTTAGCTATTCATAGGCGGCTATTCAGAAGCTTTAGCGCTCCTCTTAGTGGGCTATAGAGGCTAAGACCCTTATCCTACAGCTAAAATAACAGGGCACTTCTATCTCTATATAGTGGTGCCCTTCGTATATAGGGATAGAAGGGAACGAACTAGCGGATAAGGCAGCTAAATAGGCGTTAGACCCTTAAAAAGCTACTAAATCTATTAGCTTAGTTACCCTTAGTCACGTAAAGCGTCGGGTTAACGAGGCCTTAGTTCGAGACTAGAAGGCTTTATAGAACGAAGAGGAAGAGGCGGAGAAAAGGGGTAAATCGGTGCGTTTAGGCCGCCTTTATAGGCGCCTAGTCCGAGATAACCTCCGCTTTTCCCGAAAACCATTATCACTGCCGATACAGGGCCCTAAGTGGGTAAAGTCGGCTTTTACTTAGTTAAAAACCGGCTTCGGATACCTAAAATCCTACTAAAAAAGGGCCTAAAATAGCGCTACCGACTACTATTCCTGTCCCGGCTCCCCTATACAGAATATAGCCCACCTTATCCTTTGTTGCCCTTTTTATAAAAACGAACGAAAAGCTCTACGGGAAGCCCTAGCAGGCCTACCGCTATCCCTACCGCTATTATTCGGTACTAAAAGAGGTATACAGGCCTTAGAGGCGTATCTTTTAGCTACTAAAATAGCCTCGGCGGAGTAGTATAGAGCGTAAACCTCGGATCCTACGGTCCAGTTTTCTATTTTGGTTTTTTACCTGTTTTTCGGTATATTAGGCAGACTGTTACAGAGGATTTCCTGTATTTATTACTACTCCACTCCTTACTATAGTTTATTCTAGCCTCGAGCCTATAGGTTAAAAGGCGCCGCGCTATAGCTTTAGGGCTGTATTCGCGAAATGAATTAAAAAAAAAATTCCACATACTTGGCATCTGTGACGATATATGACTTGTTGTTACTCCATGTCAGTAAGGCGGAAGGAAGTGTTTGCCATGGAACTATACCAAAAGCTAGCCACTGCAACATGAATGCGTACATGTAGAGAACGAGGCCTTTTCGGCGGTGATGCGTTTTCCAGCGGGGGCACCGGGAGCATCAGTCCTAGCATTGGTTCAATTACGGTTACGATTACGAGCAACTCTCGCACATTTTAAACCCCCGGTAGACAATGCAACATGTAAGACGGACCAATCCTAAGACTTGATTCCAAAGCCCAGCCATTCGGACTAATAAGCACCCAGATAGGGTTCCGGGACCGGAGCGTTGGTGTAACGTCGTTCGATGTGCGGAAGCCACACCCGTCTTGGCCAAGGCCCAACGGGAGGATTCGACAAAGCCTCCCCGTGCTGTTATTGCATCGTGGCGGCGGTAGGCGCATCTCGGATCGTGCACCATCGAAGGCTCCCGTCCAGTACTTGGTCGACATGAATTTATCCGTGGCCCGTGGCTGATTTGCTTACTCCGCCGTCCGTACGTCCCAGGATCTGATTCCAGGAGACTCAGCCCTGCTGGCCTGTGCCCTATAGCTCGTCCCGTCCCCCACGGGGTGTGTCCACTAATGTGGAACTGTGGAACATGCAGGGTCTGATTGTTGCCCTATTTTGGAAATAGAAACGGGTCCCTGCTTTGCTGCGTAACGTTGGTCTGGGCCTAGACCAGTCTGACAGAGAGGAACGGTGGTCCACTGGTCCCGAAGGCCGGGGTCGTCGGACTGTCGGACACTCGGAGCCCGGACGGGCCATATGTATATGTATGTTCATGTCGATGAACCCAGAAGGATCACGACAATAACAGACGTGGAATCCTCGGACGACCCTGACGCCACTACACCAGGAGAGCGTATCCGGACCTTTACCTCCAAACTCCGAATCCCAAGTCTTGCGTCCTGACCCCTGACCCTCGGTCTGGACTCTGGAGACGCGAGGGAGCAAAACAAAGCTGACAGACACCCCTGCTTCGTACGAGTCCGGATCGTGCTGGGTAAAAACCAAGAGTTCTTATCTCCATTCTTCCCTAACTCCGGCATGTTCGGAACCGGTTAACGGTCAACGGACAAGGCTGCCTCCCTACTTCGTAGAGTGAGTCCCTACCCCTGATCATAATTTATCCCTGTCCTCCTGATAACCGATGCTCCATATACCTAGTAACCCTAACACCCAGCCCGCCTTGGCCCATTCCTTCTTAGTCCTTACTATCTGCGTCAGCACGTAATCGGGTGAGATGGAATCATTATCGCGGGCGTCGTAGATTGCACGCGTGTGTAATATCCTACTTTGCTTTGTCAGGCTGTGCAGCGTGCTCCCTACATGTATGCAGCTGCACGTGCATGTGTGCTACAATATCCATATTTACGGTTTGCCCCTGAACCCACGTTAGTAGTTACCCACCCCCAACCACCCCACGTTCCGCGTTCTGACCGGCCCCGGCCCCCGATTCCTCCGCGTAAGAGGCGTCGGCCCGATTCCGTGACCTGCGTCACCAGCCTACGGGTTCATAAGCGGCTTTCGGGCCCGGCAGATAAGATAGGCGTTTTGGTTTGGTGGCGCTACCACTGGTGATGGGCGATCGTGGTGGTGAGAGCCGGAGGTGTAGGCGATGCCGCGATGGCGTGCACACTTCATTCACATCAATGGGACAAGCTGACGGATACCCCCACGGGACGCCAAAATCCTACATGTAAGCTACATGCACGCAAGAATAAGCCTCAGGCCCCAAGCGACTCCCACATGCATGTGCCATGATGCAACGAAGACACAGCTATGCCCTGTCACCTCGTGGCGCGGTGGCGACACCCATTCTATCCGCAGACAGAACTCAAGCTTCTGCTTATCGCAACATGAACGCGTGCGTCCTGAAGACCAAGACTCCCAAGACCGCAAGACCCCAGGGGCCGGACCGCATAGGCCACAGCCCAGACCAATGATTTAATCTCCAGGCAGCATGTAAGCTCAACTGCAATTTGATCCTTCAGACACACCCACCTGATATGGGTACTTGCCATGACTTTACAGTGTAGAGGCTCGCAACTCGAGACTTGCGATACGCTCATCTCATGGTCAGAGGAAACGAACCACGAAAATCTGTTCCTTCACCCGCCGGCGGGGAAGCCATTGGCAGTTTGGCATTTGGGACAAGGCCGTAGAGGAACATTAAAAAGAGTTGTTGTTTCTGACCTTCAATGCCTCCCCCCCCCTTCCTCTTACATGGTGGCATCTGTTGTCTTGTATCTTCGTTTGCGTCTTAACCAACAGGCCACATCACCCATCCGTCAAAGCATCAATGTCCGCATTAGTCCATGCCCCGGCGTCGGGCAGCAGTTCGGGTCCCGGTTCAGGCCCAGGCCGGAAGCGCGGTGTCTCGACTTGTTTACCATGTTACAACAAGAAGCAGAAGGTGGTTGCAGTCTTTTGCTATTAGCTGCCCATGCTAACACCGTTGGTCAATCAGTGTAACCGTCAATATCCATGCAATCACTGCGCAAGGCGACGCAGACCGGAACAATGCACTTATGTATACCACGACCAGCGTAAGGCTCCGGCTGCTGCTGCTGCTGCTGCTACTGCTCAAGCTGCTCAAGCTGCTGCTGCACCGAAAAAGATGCCCCCGCCTTCGGTAAACCAAAACCAGTTTCACGAGATCCAGCTGTTCGGGTCGTCGGGCATGGGTTTTGCTGTCGACTCCGAAGGACAACCCGCCATGCTGGAACCGTCCAACAGCTGTGGGACTGCTCTCCGGGAGGACCACACGACTCCGCTCTCCGAGTTGTTCGGGTATTTTGAAGATAGCGAATCCAATACGTTGGGTCTGCTACGAAGAGTGGTCCGTTTTCTTTTTCTTTTTTTTCTTTTTTTTCCTTCTTTTTTTCCCCCTTTCTTTTTCCATCCCCACGTCCCAATCCCCGAGTCCCCGAGTCCCCCGAGTCCACTGTCCGCTCCCTCGGACCTCATCCACCGGCCCCTCCCTACAATGCACACATCACGTTGTGTATAGTTCATGGTGTCTACATGAAAGGAACATTGAACGCAGCTCATACATCGAATCACAGGCAGGCTTGGACCAACGAAAGCACAACCACCAAACCGTCCTATCTCGCGAAGTCGGCGCCAGTGTCCTCGCAGAGATGGAGCGGATGCCCCCACGGACCGTCATCGACTTCCTGATGCAGTTCTTCCTAGCCGAGGTAAACTGGATGTTCCACCTCGTACATCCCGCCAGCCTGATGTCCCATTACGAAGCGTGGTGGAACAAGCGACGACAAATCAAACTACCCGACACTGACGTCGACCCCAGCCCCAACCCCAGCCCCAACCCCAGCCCCAACGCCAACGCCAACGCCAACGCCAACGCCCACGCCCAGGCTACTACCAACGGCGGCGTCGGGGTCGAGGTGGAATGCGTCTTCAATGCGACCGACATCGACTTTGCGGCGCTCATACTGCGCATCTGCGCCTTTGCCGCGCAGTTCTTGCCCTCGGCGTCGCATACCATCGACTCGGTCCGCGGAATGCCCCTGGCGAAAATCAGGGAGGCGTGCGGCGAAGTGGCCTCCGCTCTCGGTGGCATTGCCGTGGATATCGACTCGCGGGGCTCCCTTTTCCGTGTGCAGCATGTGTGTTTTTCCGGGTTGACGGCGGGGTGTGAGGGCCATATCAGGAAGGCCTGGACGACGCTGTGCTCTGCTGTGTGCCTGGCGCAGGGACTTGGTTTCCACCAGGATGCGAGAGGGGACCAGTCCCTTTTGTTGGATGAGTTGGAGTATGAGATGAGGAGGAGGGTGTTTTGCAACTTGTATGTATGGGACGGGTAAGTGATTGAACCCCTGAACCCCTGAGCCCCTGAGCCCCCGACATGACTCCTGTTAACAACTTCACACGGGAGTAAAAAGTCTTCTATCCCGACAGCTCGACCATGTTCCATTTCTAAACGTCAGCCTCAATGTCGATAACCTTCCGAAAATGAATCTCACCACGGGGACGGATCCGGATAGCGGTGCCCCTGAAGGCTTTACTGAGCGTGGTAAGTATTGGCCGGGGTTGGCCAATGCCTCCCTCTTTTTCTTTTTTTTCTTTCTTTTTCCCGATTTGCTCTTGTTTCGTTCTAATTTTCATTTCATTTTGTTTCTGCTTCTATTTCTATTATCCTTTCCTTCCTTCCCCCTATCCCTTCGCTAACATCACACTATAGTACTCCAAGCCCGGTTGGTCGCCTTCTGGCGAGACTGCAAGCCAAGCGAAAGCAGAGGGGCAGAGTATGACCCGACAAGGGCACAGGAGAGGTACGAGAGATTCCGACGCGAGTTCATCGACACTCTACCTCCCGCTTTTGCCCTCGAGCCCAGCCTGGAATGGGACAGACAGCTCCCCCACCTTTCCATGCAGCGGCAGCTCCTCTACACAGCCATCTTCGACTCCATATGCCACAACTTCCGTCCCCTTTTACTCCTAGAGCCCGCTTACATCCGCCGTCTACCCGCGTACAAACAGGTGCTCCTCTCCTCGCAGGGCGCCATCCTAGCCCACTCCGCCCTCAAGGTTCTCGAGTGCGTGTCGACCTTGAGCGGCATGCTCGGGGCCACCTACACGCGCCTGGTGGCCATCATCTTCCACACCTTCGAAGCCGGCGCGCTCCTTTTATGTCTCTGCATCAGGGGCACGGTCCAGGACGGCGACCACCTTCACCAGGCCGAAGCGGCCTTGGCCGAGTTGCGCGCGGCGTGTCCTAGCCCCCCGGAAAGTGGCTGGGGTAGTACCATGCATGTGAGCTCCGGCGCCTCGAGGACCACGGGGACGGCGGGGGCCATGGAGATGAACGTCACGCGACGGCAGTGCGTCCAGGCCGCGCGGGAGGCGCTGGTCCGGCTGGAGCTGCTGGGCGAGGTCAGCGACATGGCGGAAGCGGGTGCGTGCAGCTTGGCGCAGCTGATGAGGCAGCTGGATGGCCACGGTGGCGGAGAGGACGCACTCATACTCTACTCCACCGCTTCGTCTCTGCCGTCGGAGAAGGAGGTCGATGAGCAGAACCGGACGCCGCCGGAACTTGAGGAGTTTTGGCCCGAGAGCGGCTGCTCGGATACCATTATGAATATGGGCTCAAGTATAACGTTTGCCAAGATGAATTGCACCTACTTTGATGGGTCACAGATGGGTGATTTGGGGGATATCTTGTTAGAAGAGGGCATGCAGGGCTGGGATGCTGGTTGAAAAGTCTCACCTGGTTCCTTACTTTGTCGGTACACGGAAATAGGGATAACATGGCGTATCGTCTGGGCGGAATATAGCACTGAGAATTACATGTAGATACAAATTACAGTTAAATGATCAAGCTCATGATCAACTACATGTGCAGTTATACTCTCAGAGCTATATGTTCTTGGGGTCAACTTGTCGTCCCGTATTCGTGGGTTAAGAAGTCAATATCCGCCTCCACGACGCATTTATCTTTGCCTGTACGACGTCGTGAAGATCGAAACCTCTTACGGCTTCTCAGTACGACCTAGATCATGGTTATATTTTATAGCTGGTGCAGGAACCCGCGTTCCAGGCCGCCAATACGGAATTCCCGGTTGGCCACGTCTCCGTCATCCCAGGGGCCCTACCCCGGCCTTTGCCGACTTCCCTCCACTTCATTCATGATTCAACTACGGATTCAAAACATACAGACATAGGACACCGATACGATAATGGAAGAAACGACCGACTGCATCCACAAGGTCTGGTCTTTGCTAAGTCTATTTTTGTATCAGAAGTAGGTTTCTAACTGACTCTTGAGTCTTCTTACCCCCGACGAAACCAGAGACATGGCCTCCGGTCCCTCTTTACGCGCTTACTGATATCATTGAGGTCGACGAGATACTAGACAGTTGTGAAAAGAAAAAGGAGACAGAAATGACGAAAAGGGGGGCACATGGGGACCAGCTTCCAACCCCGGTGAACCCAGGCGAGTCTAGGAAGCCATCCCACCGGTATACGCACACGCGCCCCTGAAGGTGTTGTCGTGGTTAGTGGGACTTCATCATACAGGCTTGTTGACTGACCTGCAGAAGTCACCCGAACTGATCCGAGAGATCCCTCCGATATCAAACCCCCAACCTCCGACAACAAATGTCAGAACGTGCATATCGGTGCGGAAACCATGCAGGTGCTCATTTACTCAGGGTTCCAGGTACCCTGAAGATTACATGTGGCGTAGAAAATCATGGGGGAAAGGGGCTGGAAATCCTTCGGGGGGGCCATCACCGAAAAATGTCGGCCGAGATTTCTCGACAATTCAAACGTAGCAGCGACAACTCCGATGGCTAGATCTGAATCTACATGTAGACACTAGAGAAAAATGCACGGTCTTTTGCTTCTTGCAAGAATAGGAACATGTAAAGTCTCACTTGATCTCTCAACTCGAACCTTCACATGAGCACTGTCTGTCCGTCCGTCTGGGAGGAAAATAGGGGCCGTCCCAGATTCCCAGCAACTAACAGCAGCCCCTTTATTCACGGGTCAACTTTAATCAATCCCGGTGACCACGCCCAATATGAGCTCCCTACCTAAGATCTTCTCCGGAAGAGACACCCAGTCCTATGCCGCCATCGCCTCTCTAGCGGTCGTCAGTCTCTACGGCCTATACCTATGGCTCCTCCCAAAACCCCTCCCCGGCATCCCTTACAACTCCAAAGCGGCGAGACGACTCCTAGGCGACGCCCCCGACATGATGCGATCCGTAGCCCAAACCAGGGAAGTGATGCGCTGGTTCGCCGAGCAGACGCAAAAGCTTGACGCCCCGCTCTGCCAGGTGTTCATCCGCCCCTTCTCCAAGCCCTGGGTGCTGCTCGCCGACTACCGCGAAGCCCAGGACGTGCTCCTGCGGCGCACGCGCGAGTTCGACCGGTCCAGCTTCACCGCCGACCTGATGGCGCCCGCCGGCTACTTCCACATCCGCTACAAGACGGACCGCAAGTGGAAGGCCGCCCGCCGGTGGCTGCAGGACCTGATGACGCCCGGCTTTCTGCACACCGTGGCGGCGCCGGCCATCTACGAGAAGACCCTCGACCTGGTGCAGCTCTGGAAAGTCAAGAACCGGCTGGCGGACGGTAGGCCCTTCGCGGCGGATCTGGACATGCACTGCGCCTCGCTCGACGCCGTCATGGCTTTCACTTTCGGGGACCGCATACGGTACTCGGCTATCGCTCCGCAGGTGGACATCCTGGAACATCTCGAAAAGACGGACGTGGGCGGCGTGAGCGCCGACAGGGACGAGCCCGTTAGGTTCCCGAAGGCCGACCTGCACGAGTTTATTGTGGCGGCTACCGAGGGGACTGTCATTCTCGAGAAGATCATCAACTCCCCGACGCCCAAATGGACGCACTGGTGGATGAGCCTGTCGCCTTGGTATCGGAACATCTTCGCCGTCAAGGACCGCTTCATCCGGGAACAAGTCAACCTCGCCGTCGAGAGGTTCCGGCACTTGGAGAAGAACAACACCGATATTGATGAGGATGCTGCTACTCGGTCGGCCGTTGATCACATTCTGCTCCGCGAGCGAGCCCTGGCGCAGAAGCAGGAACGAGACCCCGACTTCAGTAGCCAACAGTTGATAGACGAGGTGAGTGTCAGAGTGTCGCCCTCCATATATCTCTCTCCTGGGTCTGTTCCAACCGGGCCTTTTTTTTTTTTCTTTTTTTCTTTTTTCTCTTTTTTTCTTTTTTCTCTTTCTTTCTTTTTTCTCTTTCTTTCTTTTTTCTCTTTCTTTCTTTTTTCTCTTTCTTTCTTGTTTCTCTTTCTTTCTTTTTTGTATCCACGTTTACTATCTTTTCCACTCACTTACACATCTTTTGCCTCGCAAGATCTTTGGCAACATCGTAGCCGGCCACGACACCACCAGCTCCGCCCTAGCATGGGTCCTGAAATTCCTCACCGACAACCCCGCCACCCAAACCAAGCTCCGCGCCGGCCTGCGTTCAGCCCACGCCGACGCCGCCGCCGCGGGCCGCGTGCCGACTCTCGCAGAGCTGATCCGCAACAAAGTACCCTACCTGGACGCCGTCTGGGAGGAGGCCCTCCGTCTCAGCGCCGTCAGCGTCACGCGCGAGGCGACCTGCGACACCACGCTGCTCGGCCACCACATCCCCAAGGGCACCGTCGTCTTCCTCCTCTCCAACGGGCCGAGCTTCTACGGCCCTTCCCTCCCGATTGACGAGGACAAGCGCAGTCCTTCGTCCCGCGCTGCCGTCCCGAGGCGGTGGGATGAGCGTGGGGACGTTGGCATGCAGGCTTTCCACCCCGAGCGGTGGCTCGCGACGGATGAGAAGGGCGGTGTCGAGTTTGATGCCACGGCGGGCCCGCAGTTGGTGTTTGGGCTGGGTCCCCGCGGTTGCTTCGGGAAGAGGTTGGCGTATTTGGAGGCCAGGGTCATTACCACCATGTTGATTTGGAGCTTTGAGCTTTTGCCTGTTCCGGAGGCCCTGGGCGGTGATGAGGCTACCGATGGCGTTACTCACAGAGCCCGAAACTGTTATGTGAGGCTTAGGAGTACTGAGTAGGGCTCTGGAATGTAACATTTGATATAGTGTAGCATCAATGGTTCATGTTCGGACATGATTTGGCCGAGTCTGGTTAAGAAACAGACACAACTTTGCCAGCACACTGCATAGATATCTTCCAACATTCCTCCTGAATCGCAAGAATGCAGACTTATATCACTTCCGATAACCACTCTTCGTATTATTTGTATAGTTTGTCTATCAGCATGTACGAATATCCATGTCATATAAAATATCAAGTTTTATTGTGTGTACATTAATCCTGTCTCCTCTCAAAAGTTGCGTAAAGCTTGCCAGTAAAGCTGGTAAACATCCATCAGTGTCTCAGATTCAAGCACCATCAACCTCAAGTTGAAAAGGACGAATTCACTTACTTCACCAATATAGTATCAACCCATTCGGGATCGTCCCGGTCACATTCAGGGGTAAGCGTCACTCGGAAGCGGCGAAAGAGGTTGGCGAAGAGAACCAACAACTCGCATGAAGCCAAGCTTGAGCCCAAAGGTTAGCATCGCACGGGGGAAGCTCCTGTGGCAACAGGCTGGGCGAAACACGTACTCTTTGCCAAGGCATTGTCGAGCTCCTCGACCAAAAGTGGTGAGTTGCTTGTCGAGTGTCGCAGCGTCCTCCGACAGCCAACGCGTTGGATCAAAGTCATTTGGTCTGTCCCAGATGTCCGCGTGTCGGTTGAGGATATAGGCCGACGTATGAATATTAACCTGCGAGCGTTATCAGTTTCCATTCATCCCTCCGTCTCAGAGCCCGGACCCCAAAGCCCACATGCAGAGAGCACAGGGAAATGCCACTTACACCGGGAGGTAGATGATGGCCGTATAGTGTGTAGCCCTCCGCGGGAACTTTCCTCGGAAGGCGGCCTGGCAAAGGATGGCCCAGCCGCAGAGTCTCCTTAACGACCGCTTGCTGCGATGACATTAGTGATCCAATATCGGAAGTCACAGAAAGGACATTGATCTCTGATCGTTACCAAGTATGTAAGTTTCCTGGCGTTCTCGTACGTAATGTCCGTACCAAGACTGGGAAAGGCTTCTTTCAACTCGTCAAGGAGCGTCTGGTAGATATTGGTATGATGGCAAACGTAGTATATCCCCGAAATGATGGCATTCGAACTCGTATCGCTTCCAGCCGTCAGCAGCATGGCAAGCTCATCACTCAGCTCTTCCAGAGTAGGCAAGCTGTGTCCCTTTACTGCCTTGGGATCCATTAACATGTCTATGACGGCGGACCTCTCGCCGCGGCCCGTAGAAACCGTCAAGGGGCGTAATTCCTCTTGGGTGGCTGGCCCTGCTTGGCCATTCGTCTGGCATCCCGGGCCAAACCTTTTCAGGTACTTTTCCGTCATGTTGGCGCAGCTCTTTTGAACGCAGGGAACTCGTTAGTTGAGATGAGCCGTGGTACGGAAGACAGAGGAGCGCAATACCTTTCTAAACTTGACATGTGGCAAGGGGAACAAGGAAACGGGGACTCTCTCAGAAACCCACATGGCAACTGCAGAGACGTTTGGAAAGGATGGGCCAATCCATCCAGTCTCGAACGCTGCGTTTAGGTTGTCGCTGAGCTCGCTCCTGAAGTCGGGCCTCGTCAGACATCCTAGCTCCTGACCCAGCACTATCTTGGAGATGATGTCCATGGTGAAGGCCTTGGCCGCGGCCGTGACACAGACTGGTGAACCCGACGCATTCGACTCGTCGAATCTGCCCAAGAGCTGGATTGTCTTGGCTTCAATCAGAGGAGCGAGCTCTTGGATCCGAGTCCCCGATAACGCTGGCGTAAGGACCTTGCGCCTGACGCGATGCTTTGCCGGATTTGTCTCGCCTATCGACGTCCCCGGAAACGAAATAAACTGGTAGAAATGGGGGTCTTTCGTGAAGTTGGTGTTGACTTTAGTGATGTCCTGGTAGACGGCCATGTCGCTTACATGGAGGTCGTTGACCCCTATTCGGATCACCGGGCCTGTAGTATTGAGTTAGTCGCACTAAACTCATCCGCTTCTCCTGCCAACTTCCAGACATGTATTGCATGAGGGAGCGCTCACCATGCTGCTGGTGCAGTCTTTCCACCTCGAAAAGCAACCGGCCATTGTGGTAGTAGTTCCAATACCACTCCCACCACGAGCTGGATACAGCTGCTACCTTAGACCCCGGATATCTTGAGAGAGGGTGAAAATACAGGTTGTAAATGGCTTTGACGACCCAAGAAACGACACCGGCCGTCAGCAGGTAAGCCCAGCTTGACATGTTGGTAGCTCAGCTCGGGCGCAAGATTGGGATTCAGGGGTAAACCAAAGAGAACGCCCAGCCCAGAACTCGTGCACTCACTCCACAAGTGCACTTTAATATCGCCAGGGAATATCTTCCACTTCAATTCCCGTACTTAAGGATTGGTTGATTGGTTATTACCGGTTGTTTCCACTGAATAAGCCAAAGACCGATTCTTTACGGCTGGGTCCCAGCCCCAGCCGGTATCCATCTCAAAGCCGAGATTTGTCGGCCGAACAAAGAGGGACCGGACACTGTTCGGGATCCCCGGCTTCCCAGGCACCCGGAAAGCCAACATCGAGATGTCATCATACCATCCTGCTGCCTAGACCCAGAGGCCCAAGAGTCATCGAGAGCAAAACATAGAAACAAATGCGGCACGGCTCGTGGGCAGAGCACGTAGGACGCCCCGGTCTCGCAACGCGGCGCTCTTGGCAGGGCCGTGGAACCACGCCACGAGGTAAGCCAGGATCTTCAGAGGCTTATGCAGGTTTCAATGCACTGCATAGACGAAAGGCCACGCGAGCCGATGCTACCGAGCCACGCCGTCTTCATGCTTGCCCCTGTCCTGAGACCACTACTAGACGAGCTGGAAACGGCTGGGGATAGCACAACTTGTTACCAGAGATGACGGCAGGCTTACAGCAACCGCCTAATTTGTAGTTGCTCCTTTTGTTTGCCATGCCCAGGCTGTGGCGTAGCGAACTATTGAAGCCATGAGGATGGAGGTCTCCAGGAGAAATCGGAGAGCCAGGGGTTTGATCGCCTTGTAGTCGACGAAACGAACTAAAGCAAAGTATAAAAGGCTAATGTTGATCCTGTAAGTCCTGTATGAAGAGGACCAGGCTTCTCAGGCTTAACGACGAGGCAGACTCCGCTCATTCAGAAGATCAGCATCGTTAACGAGGTCTTTCACTGGCCCAGGAAGCACGTTGTATTCCAGCTATACTCCGTCAGACGTCGACCATGCGTGCAGCTTTTATGTTCCTTTCTGCGGGCATTTGGCTCGTCAGCACCGTCGCAGCGGTGCCAACCGGGACGTCACCCGTTCGAGACCAACCACTCAACGACTTCCTTTCCTCTGTGGGCGTCGATCGGTCCTCTCTACCAAGCAATGTTCGTACGCTCAACACTTGCGTCTTAGCATGCACCATCCTATCGGCCGCCTACCGGGACGCCCTGGTGACCCCACGCAGCAACGCAACTCGCTACGAGCAGGAGGCCGAGGCCTTTTGGTGCGCATTACTTATCTAGCACATTTCGTTATCTCGCAGCCAGCCACTTTCGCTGACGGACGTTGCTTGCATAGGTCGGCGAGCGCTCACAAGGAACCGACATGCCTTTTCACCCCCAGATCTATCGGTGCCCTTCGGACTGCGGTCTTGACGGCCCGGTTCTCGCGGTGCCAGTTTGCGGTCCGCAGTGGAGGCCACTCGCCGTTCCCTGGGTTTGCGGGCATCGATGACGGTCTGTTGATCTCCATGTCTGGGTTCACTGATATTCGCTACCACCAAGGCACCCAGGTCCTCCGCTCCGGGATGGGTAACCGGTGGGGTGACATCTATGCGCACTTGGCCCCCTTGGGCCGCATCGTGGTCGGTGGTCGGCTCAACGATGTCGGTCTGGGTCTGGCCACGGGTGGTAAGTGACGTGCAGCACGTGCTATAGCCTGCCAGAAACCAACCTCTCACGCCCCCCCCCCCCCCGGGTGATCTGACTGATCAAATCCGCTTACCATGTTCTTGCGTCCGGTAGGTGGTCTCTCTCATCTTTCCTCCGCACACGGCTGGGTGTCTCAGAACGTGATCTCCTACGAAGTGATGCTGGCCGACGGCCGCCACGTTAAGGCCAGTGCAACTGAGAACCCCGATCTGTATCACGCCGTCAAGGCGGCCAACAACAACTTTGGTTCGTGTTCCCCCATCCCCTACCCAGCTCAACTTCCTTCTTTTGCGTCTTTCGTCCCTTGGCTGACATTGAGTTGTTGTCCAGGTATTGTAACGCACATCAACCAGCGGACCTATCCGATGGGCAAAGTTTGGGGCGGCACTGTCGTCTACTCAGGGGCATACGCAGAAGACTTTATGGCCGCCATGGCCGACTATCAGCAGGTCGGCCAGCTTGACACCAAGTCCGGTATTCTTCCTTACCTAGCCGTCACCAACGACACCATACTGTCCACGTTTGTCTACTTCGACGACGTGGTAAGGCCTGCAGCTTTCGCACCGTTCTACGAGATCCCGAGCATCTTCGACGGCACACAGGTATATGACAGCTTCTACGACTTTGCAAACGGCGGTCTTCCTACACTCCCAAGGCAAGTAGTAACGGCCCGAGCATGAAACCCTACTTGACATATCTGTCCACCCTCGACTTGTTCTAACGACCTGCCCCATTTCTGTGTAGATGGACTTATGGAGTCACCACCCTTCTGCTAGATAGGGACGCATACGTCGGGCTGGTTTCCGTCCTGTCCGAGTTTGTTGCTCGCGTGCAAAGCGTCACCAGCGGCACGTTGGCGTTGATGGCGCAGCCGATTTCCCAGAGCATGGTGGACGAGTCCCTAGCGAGGGGCAGTGACCCCATGGCTGTCACAGCACAAGCGCAGCTATGTAAGCAGAGCTCGTCCACGGCCCACGGGCAACTGGTTTTTGACGATATTGATGTTTTTTTTGGTTGACGTTGACGTTTATTTTCTTCTGATTTAGGGGCCGCTATCAACATCGGCTGGTCACAAGAGAGCGACGACGCAACCGTGAACGAAATCCTCGTGGACTGCCTTGCGGCTGTGGATGCGTACGCTGTGGCACAAGGAGTCTTTGACTCGTTCAGGTTCATCAACGATGCTTCGCCTCATCAGCAGCCTCTGCAGAGCTTTGGCACACAGTCCTATAACAGTCTTAGGTCTGCAAGCCAACGGTACGATTCCAGTGGCTTGTTCCAAAAGCTCGTACCCGGAGGCTTCAAGTTGTCGTGACTTGATAGCAGCGGGCTCTAAGAGAGGGGATCTTTGCTGGTGGTCTGGGACTCTCGGTCGGCGCCTCATTATCATACACATGCATGTACCGATCTTGCCCGGCATGCTTATGGTCCGTCTAGAAAGAGCAGCAGACTCGATTCTGATTTACGACGTGTACGTTTAGACCTAGTTATATATACCAGGGGAAGCTGGAATGTGCAAATACAGTCGAGGTCTTGTATCTATGGAAGTTCCAACTTCCACTCACCTGTATACCACTTGCTTGTTCATCACGACTTTGTCTTCCTTAAACAAAGGAAAAAGACGCGGTGACCTAGAGCGTATACTTAATAAGGTATATATAATAGTAAGTGGAAAGGGAAAAGGGGGAAAGGGGGGAAAAGGTGGAAAGGGGGGAAAAGGGAAAGGGGTGAAAGTAAAAGTAAAAAAAGAAGGGAAAAAAGGGGGGGAAAGGGAAAAAAAGGACAAAAAACATACAACACCGGGTATTCGCTGGTCGTCACCGACCCAACTACTAATCCGGCCCTCACTGGCTTATCTAGGGGAGAGCGGACGGGATCCCGAGTTTTCCAATGGGTATGGTCGTATGTGACAGCTTAACATACACAAACAGCTTAAGTACTCACACCCAGTGTGTACGTATAGAAGTACTCCTTGCTCCGGGCGCCCGGTGATAACTTCATGTTGGTACCAGGACCGACTCCCGCCGTGTAAGTGGGCCTAGGTCTGTCCATGTCCCGTTTTGGACATATCGGCCGATTGCCTCCGGTCCGATACCGACAGGGCCGAACCCCGGCGGCCGGATGCCCATGACTTTGGCCCGCTCGACACGAATCCCCGCCATCTCCATCTTCGCCTCAAGCCCCTGCTGATCGTCGGGGAATCCTTCCATGGGACTGAGCCGTATTCTCCCCCCCTCATATCGGAACCGCACGCCAAACCGATCGGGTCCTCCATCCGGGGTCAACCCATCATCCACCAAAAGTGTCCCATCCGCCGTCCCGTCCAGACCAGGAGCAACGACAAGCTCAAACGGTTTCTCCCTCAGCGCCGCCGTCGTATTCGCCCCCTCCGTCCGCATGGGAACCACACACCCGCCCCTCACATGCAACGGGATGCGATCAAACGGGACGTCTCTCAGCGTAATCCACTCTCCGCGCCCTCGAACGACATCCCCCGTCTCTAGGTCATAGAAGACGTCGTCCGGGAAATACGCACTCACGTGCAGAGCCCCTTCTTCCGTCACGGGCGAGACGAGCAAGCAGTCGCCGTAAAAGTACTGCAGGTCAATAGCGTACGTACTGGCATCGGAAGGGTAGAGGTACCACAGCGGGTTGATGGCCGGCGTGCCGTCGATGGACTGGGCATGAAGAGCGGTGTATAAGTAATCGAGAAGGCGGTAGCGCAGGGTAATGGCGCGGCGGGCGGCCGAGGCGACGAGGGGCCAGCGGTAGAATTCCTGGTGCGGGGACCGGAATTGCGCGTGGTTACGGAAGAAGGGCATGAAGGCGCCCAAGGTGGCCCACCTAGCGCATAGTTGTTCTGTTGTTGCTTCTCGGAAGCCGCAGACCTGGGTGAGCGACGTTTAGTAGTTGTCGAGTTTCCACATGATCGGACGCAAGTGACAAAAGGGGGACGGGGAAGGGGGGAGCGGTTGGCTTACGTCGCTTCCTACCATGGGAATCTGGAAGATGGAAGCAAATGCTAACATGCCTGCGATGGACGATCGACTGGAAGAGAACGATACCAGTTTAGTTTCCCATCAAAAAATATTGAAGGGTTAGAGACTGGATGTAGGACGGGACAAGGCATACTAGTGATCCCATCTCGAGGCATTGTCGCCTAGCCACTTCGCCACATATCGACCGGCGCCTGAAAACGTGCTCCTGGCCAATATGAACGGTCGTAAGGAGGGTCGCCGACGAAGCATTGCCTCGCGAGTCGTCATGCCCATCACTTATTCACGGTGTCGCTTGTCAGAATCGTCACAACCCTGGTGAGAGAGACAGCACAAAGGGAAAGGGACAGGGAAAGGGAATGCGGCGCATTGACTCACTACTTCCATAAAGATTATGAAGATCATACTCCTTCAGACCATTGTAGTGAGCCACATCCGTATCAACAGTCCGATAGCTAAGGTCCAGACGCGCATTCCCACCGTTAGCAATCCTATAAGGCGGGAATAGCAGATCTTCCTCTTTCCCGCGGGACACCTCCCCGAGCATACGCTGCTCTTGGTGTACGGGCAAAGGGTCAATGGGGGGAAGACCATCAGCTGCTGCTCCAGAAAAATCCGTATTCGGAGACGGGCCCACCGGAATGGTGATGTTATACCCCGGGAGAGGTCGAGGGGGGGGTCGAGCAGGTGGCGGTTCTGGCGGCATCCCCTGTCTCCGGGCTTCTTCCTCCGGGTTTTGGCATGGAAAAATGCAAAAGTTGGCCGGTTCGTTCATGTCGATCCTGGTAGGGTATTAGTATAAAGGTGTGAGAGGTTGACAATATCAACAGACCAAACGCCGTCGATATCCACACCCGTATGCGGGTTGAAGTTATCCTCGAACTCTCGCGTCCAGTATTTCGTAACGTTCGGGTGATACCAGTCGGGGAACACGGTGACGCCCTTTTCAAGAATGTAGTAGTTAGATCAACTTTGTCCCTGGATAAGATTGCTTTGAAAAGAGGGAAGAAGACGAGAGATACCGGCCAAACGACACCCTTGAAGTAATATGAGTCTGATCTCTCCGACTTTAGAAATACGTCCAAGGCATCTCTGCTGCCACGGTTGAAAGCCGGGTAGTCCTCATGGGCCACTGCAGGGTCAACCATGAGGATATATTGTTGCTGCTTGCGATGCAAGTTGTGGACAATCTCCTGCATCCTGTTGATGGGAAACCTGTCGGGGTCGAAAGAGAAAACACGGCGTCGGTCCATGTAATCGATATCGGTCCACATTGTCCTGAGGGCACGAACATTTTTTAGTTCTTTTAAAAGCACATAAGGAGCGAGGGAAAAGGCAGGGATCAGTCGACGTGCTCTTACTCGAGGGGGATATTGGCGGCCGAGTAGTTTGCCACGACTTCGGCAACTTCGAACCAGTCCCGATACCCGTGCTTACACTGGTGGAACTGTAGGAACGATGTGTGTCAACGGACCAGAACCTCTCATGGCCATCGCGTAAAGAGCACAGCCGACGAGGGAACATACCCCAAGACTCCAGTACGGAACCATGGCCGGCGGCCCAGCAACCCGGGCATACTGTCGCGACACCTCCACAGGCGTCGGGCCGGCGAAAAAGTAAAAGTCAAACACGCCCCCAATGATACGATATTCGAGGAAGGAACTCTGATTGCCGTTGTCGTCAATAACAATGTCCATCCCGTTGGAGTTCAACAGAAAGACCCCATGGGTCCCGGTCGGGCGCTGCTCGATATAGACTGGATGACTGCCGTACAGGTTCTCCCGGCGGGGGACAGCCACGTCGCGGGCCCAGAGAGCGCGGGTGTAGTTTCGGTTCGGCAGGCGGAAGGAATCGAAATGCTCGCCGAGGCCGAAGAGGTTTGGGTCTGGCGGGAGAGAGGTCCGGAGGCGGAGGAACTGGGTTTCGAAGACGAGTCGCGTGCTGGATGTGTCGAAGAGGACTTCGCCTGTTGTGGCACTTGTGATTTTGAAGGAAAAAGGGGAGGAGGAAGAGGGGTCGCTGAACTCGAATGATAGGAGGGAGGAATTGGCGGAGAATGGCGACGATGATGGCCGAGGAAAGACATCTTCTGGGACTTGATATCGTTCCTTGTCGCGGTCTTGGATGAGGACATGGAGTCGGGAGTCTAAATAGTGTCTGTAAGTTTAAGAGGCAGGGCCAGAACGTGCAAATCATCTCGATTTGCCCATATTGACTTACTAGTCTGGTATTCGACAAGAAGTGTTAGTCGGAGGACAGACCGGCTATAAAGGTCGCAATCGCGACCGACCAGGTCGAGGTCCGCCGACACTGTTTTATCTGTTTTGACGATGTTGTTGGCGACGTAGCCCTTGCAGTCGTCAGGCTCATTCTGGCTTGATGCTAGAAATGTGAATATAGGAGTAAGAATGATTCCTAGTACGGCGAGCTTCATGACTCGTGCAGTCTAAAGAAAGCCAAAATAATGTGACAATGTTTCAAGGAATTGGAGAACATTGAATGAATTGAGGTTAGCCGTCAAAGAAGAGGGGGGATGTGTGTCTGGGTTATCCCCTCAACTTTTGCCGGAGAATCCACCTAGACGCCATCGCGCCAAGGGGCGTATCGGCCGTATCCAATGCAGTAATACGGCGGTACACTGTACAAAATGAGTTGTCAGCTGCCACAGAGACTTTGGGAAAGTCGGGGGATGGATATGAGCCCCCTTACAGCCGATAACAGGGGTCATAAGGAGTCGACGCACGAGTCCTGGTTAAACAACACATGTGCGTAATCAGACTTAGCACTTACACGCCGCTCGTGTTGCGAGCTTCCGCCACTAGTTCGGCCATCACCACATTCTTCGCGTGTCTTTTATTAACCTACTCGTCCATGGGATTTTCTTCTCGGAAACACTTCAAGTATTGTTATTATTGCTATATTCAGCTGTCTGACCCCGTGCCGCTAGCCTTCTCTTTGGCATGATTTCTTTGTGTCCCTGTCGTCCTTTGTTTCGGCACCTTTCTTTCTCTCCCTCGCTGTTCCTGTGTGCCGGCAACGTATTAAAGTCGGTGGAAAGAAAGCTACTATTGTGCTGATCTTATCCTGACGGAGATCCCATCATCCCACGTCATTCTTTTGCTACTACTACCTACCCAGCGCTCCGTAGTTTGAGCTAGACCCTTGCAGTAAGCTCAACTTCTAGATCCACTGCAACCATCCATCTCGTAGCGTCAGGTGTGACGGTGTGACCCCGGTCCCTAGCCTCGTGCCACCCACCCGTGACCCTAGGACTCGAGCCAGAGCGCGACCATGGGCCGTAGTCGTACCGCGTCCGTCCTCCCCTCCCCCGCAGCATATACGAATAGCGTAGAAGCGGCGGGCGACGCCCCCTTTGCCATCCATTGGCCGGTCCATGCGACTCAATGCCACCGTACCCGGCATCCCGGCCAAGGCTCAATAGAGCATCATACCCGTCCGATTATGATTCCCTTTGGGACCTCCTGCCGAATGCCCTCGGTAGCTCTGTTATTCAGCCAGCAACCACAAAAGCTCGGTTGTCTGCTCCTCCGACCCCTTCTGCTTTAGTAGTTGCCGTTTTCGACGAAAGGATGAATATTGATTGGTTGGTTGGTGCGCGTGGGTCCGAATCCCGGTGGGGCGATCGAGGATCCACTACCGGGACCGGAAGCCATAGCCGGACCGTCGACCAAGCGGGTCATTTTCTTCGAATAACATGCGTGTAGTAAGTGCATGTGGTCAACAGGAATCAAATCCCGGGAGTCGTTACGCAAAAGAAAAAAATATCCAATCAATTTGCTTAATTCAGGCATCTATATCTCAACTAGTTCCAGTGCTTTGATACCGCCTGCGTGTCTATAAATTACATGTATTCAGAAGACAAGGATGGCAAAATATGACGGGGATCGGGAAAGCAACCATCCCAAAACCACCGCCCGAATTAGCACGCACTGCGCCCCCGTCCACCCCTGGTAAGGCGCACAGCATCACCAGTCATCATATACATACGGCCACTGCGAACCGCCAAGCGGCAGCCTCTTACAGTTGTCCGACATGATCTTCTGGATGCAGCGGTTGCTGTAATCATCATCAAGATGCAACATCCGGCAGAAGCTGTACTGCGGCACAAGGTCGGGCAGCTTGTCGAGGTCGCAAACGGGAATGTTGAAGAGGGGCAAAAAGTCGGCGATGTTCTCCCCGGGGCTGTTGGTGACGTCGTCGACGAGCTTCTTGACGACGTTGCTCGTGGGCAGGTACGAGTTGGCCGCTTCCTGCGTCCTCATGGCCGATCGGATGACCTGCAGCTGGCTGAGGCCGTATCTCTGAAGTGTTTCCTCGCTCTGGCCAATGTCGGGGAAGTCCCTGACGTGGCTGGCGTCGCTACGGCTATTTCCCTGCACTGCCATGCGAGCCTGTGGAGGGGGGAGAGAGACACGGAAGTTAGCAGCAGATAACACCGGAGCAGAAATGGGCGAGTTGGAATGCGTTGCGCGCCGCTAGACGGAAGGAGGACTTACAATGAGGAAGTTGTGATCCATCACGCAGGCCACGGCCTGGGAATTCCCAATACCGGGACGCCCGAAGCAGGGGCTGAACCCATAGTCCCTCGCAAAGGGATTGTCGTTGGACCACTTGATAATGGCCACATTCCCGGTGTTCCACATGCCGCTGATCATCGAGGCCTGGACCCATCTGGTCATGGTGGAATTGGAGGGCGCCTGGGCGATGTCCTGGTCGGCGAAGGCGCCGCTCTCGATGATCCTCGCCAGCTCCGTCCCCGTTTCCCACTCGTCGTTCGGGGGCGTGTCCGCGAGGAGGCGCTTGAAGTACTTGTCCATCGTATCCATGACTTCGAGCTTCGCCTCGCCCAGCTTCGCCTGCGCGGTCGCAAAGTTGGTGAACCGGGGATCCTCCGGCGGGCTGGAGCTCGACAGACTGGCTGCGCCGGCAGCAATGGTGATCAGACCGGAATACGTCCCGGCACCGCCGCTGAAAGCGCCTATGCTCCCGAACATTCCGGCGACGATGGTGAGCCACGCTGCCTCGCCGGCGGGCTCTTGGGAGGAGTAGGAAATGAAGGTGTTGGCGAACTGGGCCGTGAAGAGCGAGGCGCTGTCGATGGCGTTGTTCAACTCTTTATACCACTCCTGGAGGAAGAGGGCCAAGTTCTGCATCGACCAGAGGGCGAACGGCCTTTCCGGGGTTCGCACGCAGGCCGCCGAGTCTCCCAGCTTTTCGACAGAGCAGGTCCCGGAAACGCTGGAATTTTTCCTCTCCGTTAGACGTCTGAGGTACAGAATGACGGATGCTTTGCTACAGTACATGGGTTGGGGGGAGTGACTTACGTTCTGCAACTTGCTGGCCAATTCCAGGCGTTATCTCTGGACAGACCGTTGTATTGGGCAATCACACGGGGAACACCCTGGACATCGGTGGGCCAGTCGGTATCGAGGCCCAGGTATAGCTCGGACCTAGAATCAGAGATGGGTTAGAACTTGGGCATGGACTGGGAACGAAAAGGGGAGTCAAAGGACCACGCCCTCCGCCTACCTTAGGACAAGCCACCGGCCGATCCTACGATCATTCCACAGTTGGGGCGTCCAAGTGCCACCGTTTCCTCCGCAGAACCAGTGGTCGTCCGGGTCTTCCGGTGTAGGATCAGGCTGGGGCGACGCGCCGTAGTGAGGTAGACCAGGGTCAGGAACAGGGTCGTCTGCTGGCCAGTCATCGCCTCCCGCAGGGCAAGAGTTGAACCAAACCCAGGCCTTTTTTTTTTTTTCGAATATATCAGCGACATTGAGAGGTAGACAGGGATAGTATACTCGGGGATAGTGTTACTAACGTGCCCAGTAGTCGGGTTCGTACCGACCATGTCAGCGCGGCCTTGGCCTCCGAGATTCGGGAAGTGCATGTTTGGTCCTCGAGAAGATCCGAGGAATGCCTTGATGGGCCTCTCCCACTCGAAGAGACTGCCGCCCAGGTTTCCGCGTTCATGTTCGGCGGCCTGGCGCTTGTTGTACCAGACATTGGCGTCTCCGTTGAACTTGTCCGTCCAGACCAAATCGGCCCTTCCGTCGCCTGATGGAGAGACGGTGTAAGTAGAAAAGCCTTCCAGGAGAAGGGCTGTGCTGTTAGAGCTCAAAACTCACCGTTTACATCCGCGAACTGGAAGTTGGCGCGGTCAAGGTCCTCGTGGTACTTGACTTGTCCCGCATTGAACCAGCCACCATGCTCGTCGCGGAGCCAGGCCGTCGCACGTCCGGACGGTTCCATGCAAATGTAGTCGACACGTCCCGAGCCGCTGTGAAAACGAGGTGAAATTGGTTAGCTCGTCAACCGTCATCGGGGCCATCGAATCCGACCAGTTGTCTTACCTGATGTCGGCAAAGTGAGCGCCGTTGTCAAAGTAACCGAGACCCCAGCCCTGGTTACACCTCGCGCTGTTAGGAATATCTCGAACATCCCAGTTAAACCGGCTCCCGTCCCACCGGCTATGCCACACTCTGAGAGCGCCAGTGTTCCGATCGATAATGCCAATAATATCGTCCTTGCCGTCGCCGTCCCAGTCTCCGATGTGTAGGGCTCTGCGGTTAAGCCCCGTCTTGAGCGAAATAGGGGTGCTCCAGGCCGAAGTGGCGTAGAAATCGGACTGTTCGCGTGTGTTCTTGTTCAGGAAGATCCATGCTTCTGCGTTACCATTGTCCGAGTCCGGCGAGATCCAAATGTAGTCGTCGACACCGGTGCCAGTCATGTCGCCCCAGTATATGCCGTCACCTGATGTGGTCATCGTTCGTTAGCAGTTGGCTCGCTAGGACTGCAGATGTCAGAGGAAGGGTTAGGCGGAGGGTGCAACTTGCCCTTTTGAAACTTGCCACCGCTCCCCAGATTCTCGTAGGGCACGAACCTGCGCGAACAGTACGACAAGGTGCACGATTCCCAGTAGTGGATGTACTAGAGGCAAAGTCAGCATCATCTGGGAAAACCGCCCTGTGGTTCTCGGAAAAAGAAAAGGGAGTCCAATATACTCACGTCCGCTCTCCCATTGTCACCGAAGATTCGACCAAAAGCAATCTGATGCCTGTCAATCCCGATGTTTGTACCCATGCCCTGATGGGTTACACCCGCATCGAGCCATCGCGGGATCATGCCCTTATCCGAACCTCGCTGGTTGATCCAGGTCGTGACCCTTCCGTGCTCGTCCATCCAGGTCCAGTCCGATCGGCCGCTGTGCACGCAGCGCATGTTAGCATTCTCTCTTTTGCTTCCGGGGACAAGAAGTCCAGAACCCCTTTCGGGGCTGAGGACACAGAACATACTCTCCATTGATATCAACTTTGTGACAGGGCTGGATGTCAGTAATCCATCGTCAAGATAGCTTGGGGTCAAGGTCGGATCGGGCAAGGTTAACAAAACATACCAAAACGGACACCCCGAATATCACCCATTCCCTTGGCCGTGAAGACCGGCCCGCCTGAGCCCATGTTCTGCCAGTAGGCCGCCCTCTCGCCAATGCCACCATTGCGCCAACAGCTTCAAGAAAGCATGCGTTAGCAACAGAACACCATCGATGGCAATGTCTCGGGATCCTTGGTTCAACTTACAAGATGTCGCCAGAGGCCGGGATGACACAGTAATCGAGCCTCCCGTCACCATCGATGTCGCCCAGGCGCACGTGTGCCCTGCCGAGGCCCCTTTCCGGGGTTTTATACTAGACCAAAAGGCACCGTTAGCAAGTCGGAAGGCACGAAATAGAAGCAGAGATTCGCTGCATACCGATCCCAGCGCCCTGAATGTGGGCGGATTTCCGCCCGTGTTGAGAGACACAAACCTAGGAGGCGTGTCAGCAGGCGATTCGCAGACAGGAAACAACGGTCATGGACGTGGGCATGGAGAAAGCCTCACATTTCTCCATTTTCAGCGATGCAAATAAAGTCATCCAAGCCATCGCCGTTCTGCTAGTGTTAGTCTCATGGCTCTAAAACCTCGCAGTCTCGCCCAGTATCTTGATGTGACGACTTACAACATCGCCCCATTGAATAGCTGAGAGCAAACAAAGTATTCATGTTAGCTTGTGGGCTTCACACCGAAGAAAAATCGAACAATGAACATACCTTCAATCGGGCATCCGTCTCTGATATAGTCGTCCTTGACATCAATGTCATGCTCTTCCGCGAAATTCCCATCTCCCATGTTGAGGCGGAACTTGAGCGTCCTGCGTTCCACCTTCCAACCCCAGACGAGCTCATCCCGCTCCCCTCCCTTGGGCGCATTGTACACGTTCACGAGCTGCGCAAACCACACGCGCGTGCCCTTGGACCGGCCCAGGTTGGTCACCTCGCGGTCATTCCGGGGCACCGACTGGTGCCTGTACGTGCCGTCGTCGCGGATCACCGAGTTGGCGGCGTGCAGCACCTGCCTCCCGCTGCGCACGTCCTGGTTGCCGCTGCCGTACTCCTTCCTGCACGTCGTGGTGCCCTCGCTGTCCTCGAAGAGCCCGGACGGGCTCGGCTCGCTCAGCCACCCCTTCCCGTTGGCCTGGTCGATCGCCCAGTCCCAGACGGCGGCCATCTTCATGTTCCCCGGGATGGTCGGGTGCGTGAGGTCCGGGTGGGGTTTGATGTCCCCGCTGGTGATGAAGCCGTCGGCCATGTCGGCTAGGACCACCTTGAAGGGGGTGACCTCGTTGCCGTGCTCGTCGAGCGTGACGAAACTGCGGAAATGGCGGTAGTAGAGGTCGCGGTACTCGGCGTTGACCTTGTCGACGTTGCCCTGGTTGATGCCGTTGGGGACTAGGGTCGAGAGGACAACGACGGCGTGGGGTACCTCGGAGAAGATGGTTTCGATGAGCTCCTTCATCCTGAGGCCCGTACCGTCGACGGGTTCATGCCGTCCGTTTTGGGTCGCGTCGTTGGTTCCAGCGTTGATGAGGACCACGTTCGGTAGCCAGGTGTGGGTGGCGCGCTTTGTCCTGGCGGTCACCTCGCTTACACGCTGGCCTGAGATACCCTCATGGTCCTGGTTTCCTCAAGTCGTCAGTCTGGGGATGCTCCAATCGCTGTTGGGGGGGGGGGGGGGGGGGGGTCGGAGGGAAAGAGGGGCGGTCCAACCTCTTTTGATTGCCGCTACTCACGTTGTCCTTCATAAGGCCACGGTTAAAACTGCCGACCATGTTCACCTTCCACCCCCTAAGCCGGAGCTTGTCACGGAGAAACTTCCGGTAGCCGTTCATCTGCGTGTCGTCTTCGGGCCCATGCTCTCCGGCCGTGATGGACGCACCGAGAGGCATTACGCGAAGGTAGAAGTCCCGCGCGTCAGCACGTTTGAGAAGTTTTATGTTTTCGTAGTTGGGCGACTGGGACGGTTCGAGGCCGGCAGAATAGGGAAGCGCGGCGCATGGCTGAAGGAGAAGGGCGGCCACTGCACCGAAACCGGCGAGTGTTGCCTTCAAGGAAACCATTGCAGGATGGCTAAGACGCGACAGCGATGGAACACACTATTATCGCCTGTCAGTTGCTCTGAGAGAAGGCGTCTTCAATGCGCGGACGTCTCGTACTTATACGCTTGCTGACTCTGCCTCAGGGATCACAACACTCGACGCTCTAGCCCTACGGGTTTGCGGCTGACGTTCCGTCCAAGGCGGGCATTGGCGCATTGCCGGTACTATAGATAGGCACCAGTAAAAGCGGATCCTTCTAACTCGTTTCGGGGTCGCCTGTTTCTTGGGGTAGCAAGATTGGTCCCTTTACGACCCCAAAGAAGGAGCGTTGTCGATAAAAGGGAGCACCTCTGTTCAAAATGCTCCTGGTGCAGTGGTGTCCTCGTAGAATGGACTACTCAAATTACATGCCCGAGGACGGATCATGCTCCTGGTCGCAGGTGCGACGCTATGCCAAAGACCGGAAGACCGGAAGAGACTTGCCGTTGCCCTTGTGTTCCGTTCGGCGGCGTTGAGTCTTGACTCTTGAGCTTCAAGCGGCTTCGCCGAATCCACGGCTCTTGACGCCGGCCCGGAAGGTGACAAGATGAGTGACAGCATATAGGAAGTCGATCGCGTCTACTGGGCGTCCGAGGAATAATTAATACAAGCTACAGGAATTGTTGAACGGAGAACAGAAAGCAAGCATACCTGTGACCTAATTAGGTGCCATCCATGGCGGAGTATCACTTCTTGACGTCTGGGTTAAGGGTCCTGGGACTTAAGATTGCTTGTGGATACGGTGAATCCTTCAGTGGCAAGGCAGAGGGGGAGGGGAAAAAATCGCCCCTACATGTAGGCACTGGACCCTGGTCGCTTCACGTCGTTGTATTTGTAATTCAAATATGACAAATGTCAGACAAATGTCAATGCAGACCCCTGTACTTCGCCCCTATGTCAACACAGCACAAAGGGATGCGTATGAACAGTCGAAGACCGTTGTAGCAGGGTGAATGAATTAATGACAGCTGGGATCCCAACGCGAGAAGAGGTTTAGAGCCCCCCACCTTAGGAATATATCAACGGTCTGGTCCGTCCAAGATGGCTTCAAATTTCGTGAGGGAGCCGAAAGACGATTCGAGTTGGGAGAGCTGTGCTCCTCCTAGCAGCCTGTGGGCGGAAAGGTCCGAAGCCGTGACCACTGACAGGGCACAGCACCCTGAAGATGAAGGTGGCTGCCGCTGGAGATGGAGACAGCTACGAATTGATCCTTGCATGGGGTTGCCTTGATCGAGGGACATCCAACGACTATTCTTTTGGTTCGACGCTTGAAGGAAACATGAAGGGTCTGGTGGTTTCCGACGTCGAAAAAAGAGGCGTTGATCGTGGACCATGGCCCGTGGGGGAAAAGAAAGCACAGTCTACTCTCGAGGAACTTCAACGAGCAGTAGTCAGTACGCCTTGTACGATTGAAGGAACCATCTTACTGCTGTTCCTGTGATTGAAGAGGTCAGCTGTGCCCGTCTTCCGCCCTCCCCTATTCCGTCTTCCGGGTCGACTTAAACTCTTTTTAGGTAAAATAATCCACTACTTCCTTACCACCCGAAATTAGGTACGTTTCGTAGGTCTCTCGAAGTACCTAAATATCCGAGAAATTAAAACACTACCTTAGGTATTACCACCACTTTTACTACTACCAGAGTAACGTCGCGATTCTGCTCGGCGTGTAATTATCTCATAGGTCGTCTTCTAAAGCACGAATACCAGGGTTAAATAGCCGTAGTTTAAATATATACTAAGACAGGTAAAGGGAGGGAAAAGGTAAGTGGAAAAGGGTAAGTGGAAAAGGGAGGAAAGGAGGGAAAAGGAAAAGGGCGGCACGGGTAGAGGGGCGCGTGTTAGGATTAAAATAAATAAATACGGTTAGTAGATCTATTATTCCTTAGTTATACGACGAATAATATTAGGGCACGTGACTATCCGGTGTTTTCCCGCTTATATAATCCGGTCTAGCGTTTTTCCGACTATATAATCTGTATCCGGATTTTTACGCGATTACCTAACCACTACTTTTTCCTCCCTTTATAATAACGTAATAAGAACTAACACTATATTATAATAACGTAATATCTCTACAAAGAGTACTCGTACGTGTTCGCTTTTTTGTGTTTAGGTACTTCGAGAGACCTATAAACGCACCTAATTTCGGGTGATGGGGAAGTAGTGTATTATTTAATCTTAAAGTAGTTTAAGTCGACCCGGAAGACGGAATAGGGGGGGGGAGTCAGGACTCTGGCTCCCTGTGTTGTTGAAGCTGTTATTGAAGGGAATGACTATTCGTTATGTAAGTTCTGATATCTACTATGTAAAACCCACTTTTTAGTGGGGCTATGAAGTTAGGCTTAAGCGTATAAAGTATCGCACCTAATTTATATATAGAGATTAATCCACTTTATATAAGTGTTATCTATCTTATTAATCCACACACTTAATAAGCTATAGTAGAATTAAAGCTACTCTAGATATCACGACGTAACCTTATAATAACCGACGATATAACTCAAGATCGACCTTACGGCTCTGGCCTACCGCAGCAGGGTTTTAACTTAAGGGAGCTAGGCTATATAGCTCTTACGACCTACGCCTTCTCGAACGGCTATAGCCGTATTATTAACGAATAGTATCCCCGTGGTAAGGAACCGATACGTATCACGTATATCTATAGGAAAGGTCGGGTTCAAGGGCGTTAAGAGTCCTAAACGCATGAGTTAAAATAACGGAGGACTTCGTTATAATCCACTACCTGCCCCTTTAAGGTTAACCTACGTCGTCGTGATACTAGCTAGGTAGTTAAAGTAGTCGTTAATCGCGTTACTAGTTAACTAAGTTCCTATAACTATAGCTAGATTGAGGCGAGCGCCTTCTTATAGTATTATTCGCAGGTTATTAAGCTATACATTCTTAAGATCGTTTCTATATAGAATAGCGGTATTCGGCCCGGCGATATCTTGATAAGACTACGTAATCCCGAAGATCTAGATTAATAGGCGCTCGATATAACTAGAATTAACGTTATAAACTTACTTACCCGGTATCGCCGTAGCGAGCTTAGTAATAAGACCCTAATTTAATGGCTTTACGAGGTTTAATTACTTTCCTGACTTTTACTTACTATTACCATTGTATAATTATATACTAATTTCTTAGTAAATTAATAAACAGGATAGCTTTACCTACTATAACCGCCGTGATAGCCTTAACCGACCAAAGTGCCGTTTTATCGCCCCCTAATCCATAATTACCCTCTTACGATATTCCTCCGATATCCTCGTAATAGATATAACGTATAAAACTAATAAGTTTAATATACCGCTAGTTAATTTTTACGGTATATCGCCTTTACGAAAGACCTTCTCTATCGCGATGGTTTTCCTTAATAGCGAAAAGGAGGATTAATACGCTTAGACGCTTAGGGCCTTAACCGACTTTATCCTCGCCGCCGATTTACCGTTACCTTACTATATTATTATGGACTAGGAGTAGGCCCTAATAAACGCGCTTAAATCACACCTAAATCTAGGATTAGTATAACCAGATAAAGATGTAGTGGCACCAGATCGTCAAGACAAAGATCAGACAAAGAGGTCAGTCCAGTAACACCACGATGCTTAATCAAAACATAACCAATAACACTATAACCTTTAGCGAAGAAGTAGATCGATAGTCACTGCTCTAATCAGGGTAACGTAAGTTAAACTGGAAAGATACCTTAAACGTAGAATAAGCAATTATAAAAGAGGATAATGATTAAATAATAATCCCTCGATAGGGATGTCCTGAGCCTGTCCTTAATATATATATAGGAGGTGGATCTAGTAGCCTTGAAAAGGGGGTTATATAACTGGCTATTAGAACCACTCCAAAGCCGTATCTACGCGGTTATAATACGGCCCTAATTATCTCGATTACGCCCTTGTAGCGTAGATAACTCCAAAAATAAGCAGATACAAGCAAATAAACCAAGCAAAGAGCTATTATATACCCTTATTCCTCTAATCACCCCGTCTTCCACGTATACCTAGTTAGGGATCCTCTTAGTTCTAGTTCCTCCGTATTTACCGTTCCATTACTATTTTCACTAACTATATCCTTAAAACGTCGCTTATCTAATCCTCTACCTATATCTCTACTTACGCTTCCGTAATGTCCTTCCTCCTACTATATAGTCGGGCTCGCTAGCCTTCTTAGCCTCTTATTAGCAGTAGCCGTATCGACTTCCTACTTAATAGCGGTACTATAACGACATAGCTCGCGATAGCGGGAGATACTTACTACTATTAGCGGCGGTATCTTATAAAGCGGCCCTATAAGGGTTATTAAACGACTAGATCTATTCTGCGCGGCTATAATTACTTAGTCTAAGCGGCACGTTCCTTATCTCGATTAACCTATAGAATAGTAAACTGCGAGATATTTCCAGGCCGTGATCCTGATATGCTTAGTCCTCCTCCTACTTACTCTATATATCCGTTCTCACGGAAAACTTAACGAGATCTTCTCCCTTATACGTGTAGTAGCTAGTGGCTAAGCTAATCTTAACTAGAGCGGACTATGGCTACTGTATCTACGGCTTCGACTGCTTTTTTAGCTTAGTCTTCTTTGGATCAGGGGAACTAATAGGGGCTTAGACCTTAGGAGACTTAGGCGGTACTATAATAGGGGCGTGCTTTCCTTAGTAACTTTCTTATACTTAGGGGTAGTAAGCTTCAGATTGCCTAGCTCCGGGAACGTGCCGCTATTATTATTATCGAATGCCAGGACTTTAGTTGGTCCCTAACTAGGGGAAGGGGACTTCTATTTAGTCGTCTAAGAGGTTTTAGGAGTTTTAGAACCCTTAGGCGGGTTAATAGGCTTCCACTCTTATTAATAAGCGTGAAATTAGTTATCTTAGACGGATTATAGAAGGGTAATATAATAGGAGTAGTAGTAGGAGCTAGGTTAGGGGTTAGGGTAGGCTGCTTAAAAACTAGCTCGGGCTAATAGCTGAAGCCGAAGAGTTCGCCTATATAGCTTAACTAGCTATACCGGATATACCGTGTATAACTGGCGTTATCTATAGCGTAATAGCGACTATCCCATAATCAATATAGCCTAGAGGAAGCGGGAAATAAGTATCCCTCCTAAATAACAGAACGGATCTATTCACTAATAAATAGACTATACGAGTACGTATTTTTC